TGGTACCCATGCCCCCATTTTTGTCAGCAAAACAATTTTGATTCAAACAAGCAAACGGTTTGATGGTTGATAAACTGTCTAATTTCACCAAACCAGTATGCTGAGGAGAGTACAGTGACTCAAATGGATAGCAGTAAGGATTGTAGAGATTTATGTGAGTAAGATCATATTAAGCTAGTGTAATCTATGGAGTGGTAATCATACCAACTCGTTTGCCAGCAGAAAATGCTCTTGCTAAAATAAGCAAAGCAGGGCTCGGTTGATGGAATAGTACTAAATAACCTTGCCCAGATGATTCCGGGGAGAGCCCAATGACTCCAGGAGAATATCAATGAATTTCACTCTTTTATGTATCAACTAGAGCAAGTCAACAAGCTGTAATGATAGAAAAGGGCAAATTGTTTAGACCTGAACTACCATAATGACAAAACATGGATTAGCAGAACATGTAAAAAGAAAATGCCACTAAGAAAAAACACAAGTAAAAGTCGTATTGGAAATTGAGTTTGTAGTTTAAAAACTCCGTGCACTCGAGTTGAGTGAAACGCATAAATAAAGGCAGGACGAGCAGTGATCATGAAGAAGTTAGGATGACCATATGATTGAACGACACATATCCACATAGATTATAGATGTCATAAGCGCGGTTCTATCTGAAGTATTCCATTTAGATTTATTTTTTTCAGTTTGAGTTTGAAAATTTTACTATCTTTAGAAGCCAAAATTTCACGAGGTAGTTTTTGAAGCATTTTTTGTGTACGACTAAAGAAATCATATCCAAGGAAAGAACGAAATTGTTTCCGCCCACCATTTGCTGAAATAGTACAAACGGAAAACCGGTAGTCCTTCCATGGCTGGGTCTAAACACCCAGTATTTGGAAGGTTTTAACCTTGTTTCACCCCTATAAATTCTGAAAGCAAGCATAAGATCATGAACAGTACGACGGTAGGACAGACTCTCCATTTTTAGTAATCTCAAGCGTTCTTCGTATGTGGGAAGAAAATGGGGATAAGCAGAACTAGGAAAACATCGAAAAAACAAAAGTCTAGTAAAGGCTTTCTGAACACTTTCCAAGCTTCGTTTATGCTTTCTAAGGAGGGGGCACCATACCTGGCTTGCATATTCTAGCACGGGGATTACTAGGGCTTTGTAAAGCTTTAACAATATTTTAATATCAGTTGTCTTTATGTTACGAAATAATGTATATGATTGAAAATGCCCGTGCTGTAACGGAAGTAATTTGTAAGTCAGGCTTCAATTTGTCATGAATGAGGACTCCCAAATCTTTGATAGATCTTTTAAGGGCCGAAGCTGTGCCATTGTGTTCATAAAGAACTTCCCGTTCTGAGCCAATGTGGAGCACGGAACTCTTAGCAACATTGACAGAGACGTCCCACTCAGCGCACCATCGAATCATGGCATCTATAGAACGCTGTAAGGCTCCTCTCACAACGCTGCGGTTCTCGTTATTGTAAGTAGCGAAAATTTTAATGTCGTCAGCGTACATTAGCACATGAATGTTAGGATGCGTTTTCAAGATTCTGGGTAGTTCGGCAGTGTAAATGACAAAACGAAGTGGTGAAAGTGCCCCTCCCTGAGGAAGCCCACTAAAACATGGAAAGTGACCAGAATGTGCCTTACCAACTCGGACAGTCATGTATCTGTAGCTTAAGTAAGGACTAAGCCAATCAAAAAGAGCTCCTCTGATGCCGTAATGCTCCAGCTTAAATAATAGTTTAGAATGACTTATACGGACAAACGCTTGGACAAATCGAAGTAGATAACATCGATTTCATGACCATTCTTGGTGGCCACAACTCAGTCATGCGTGCAGTCTATCAGTTGAGTAACGGTAGATGAACCACGCATAAAACCGTGTTGTTCTGGGGGTATTATTTTGAATCTTTCAAACCAGTCTAGCAATTTATCTCGTATGATCTTTTCTAATATCTTGCACGGTACAGAATTTATGCTAATGGGTCTAAAATCGGAGACAAATTTTGGATTACTTACTTTAGGGACAGCAGTGATAATGGCTACTTTCCAGATGTAAGGTATTTCTCCACAAAGAAAAGAGATATTGAAAATATGAGAGAGAGGGACCGATAGTTCTTTAGCACATCGTTTAAATATTATTTGTGGGAGTCCATCAAAAATCTCAAAAGTTGAGTGTTTGAGTTTTTTGAGCTGGCGTTCAACCGTATAGGGCACAATAGTGGGAGCTGGGCACACGCGCCGCAGAGGGGCGTCAAGAGTTGTAAAGTTGGAAGTAACTGTTGGAAATGTGCTTGCGAAGAATTCAGCTAATGCTTGCGCTTTGCATTCATCAGACAAATGTGTATTACCCATCATATCTTTGACAGCTCCAAAGCTTTTGGTAGAAGTCTTGGTTCGAATGTAACTAAAGAGATTCTTGGAGTGTTCAGACAAAGCCAAGCGTTTTTCACGGTTTGTCAGGAACTTCTTTAGGTGGAATGCAATATCTGAGCAAACTTTCATATAAAAAGCGCTATTGTATCGTTTCGCTTCGAAAAGTCTCGCTTTTTGCTGTAGAAGCGAGCGAATGTGGGAGGGGTATTTCAAATTGCCCACTTTCTGAACATCAAATGGAGTATATTTTGTTAAGATAGCGTACACGATGCAACAAAATATTTTGTATACTTCTGACGGTGAAGTATAAGAGTCAAAACATTCGTCCTAATTGATAGTACTAAGTTCGTCTTTCATTGCTCGAAAGTCTATCCTGGTAAAAATGGGGTATGGCAGGAGCTCACATTTTGGGCTGTTAAATGCGTAGTGAAATTCTATGACATTCTGATCGGATGTGGAAAAAGGAGGTCTATATAATAATTTTGACACATGCTGGGGATTAGCTAGCTAGAATTAAATCAAAAATGATATCATTTCGGGTTGCTTCAGTTACAAGTTGTTCCAAGGACAAGTTCTGAAAGAGTGCATAGAATTTCTTAATATATGCATAATTATAAATATGTGAATTCCGCGCCTAATAACATGTTATGGGAAGGTTGAAGTCACCCACGATTAGGATATTTGGAGCGCAGGAGGCAAGTGTAGAGAGCGAGCTCAAGAGTTCATCGTCGGAACTAGAGGTAGAACTGGGAGGCGATAAACACATATCATTCGTACTTTAGGAAGAAAAGGGTATTGATAGAGATCAATAGATATAATTTCACTGCAACAAGAAAAGTTGAGTTCGGTTTTTTCACATAGCAATATTGATTTAATTAGCACACAGACGCCAACGCCTTTTTTATGTGATCTGTCATGACGAAAAATAGTATAGGGTGAATCAGAAACAATTTCTGCGTCAGAAACTTTGGCAGATAATTAGTACCGGTCAACAGCCTTTCCAAGAAAACTCCGCCTGCTTCCCAAGTCTTTAGTGAATAAACTTCCCGAATTGCATTGTTTCTTGAGTACCGTTTCTCCTGATATTATATTCATAACAGAGACTTGGTCACGGTCTTAGTTGACCCAGTGCTGGGCAGGAATAAGACTTTTTTCACCAATGTTCCTCCTAACCGGCCCTTGGGACCCTCGCTCCTCCCCACTAAGTTGCCGCTTCCTCTTCACCACGGAATGGAAATGGGCTCTACCGCCAATGTTCACGCAAAGCTATAAAGAGTTATAGTTATAAAGAGCATGAGTTTCTATCTTATATATTATTCAGATTATTTATTCAAATTTTGTATTGCTTGCTCAAAATCACAACTTTTCATAGAGAAGCTTAATCGGCGCAAACTTTGCATTGTTTAAAAGAGCGGATAGAAGAACCTACAATATCGACTGCTCCGATTTTTGCTGCAAGTTTCCGATTTTTTATGAACCTACACGAAAAATTCAATTTTTGACTGATTCTGGTTTTGAGCTTCTATCTCCTTCATTTGTACACATTAACGAACCGTTCGGGGACATAAGCAAAGAGCATGAGTTTCTATCTTATATAAAACTAGCTGGCTTACCCGACTCCGCCGTATGTTCCGAATAGAAAATTCCATTTCTTAACCGATCCGGACCAAACTTGGCACACATACCCTTCGGGCCCCGGCGGGTGTCACAGTCCACTTTTCGTTATCGATCGATGTCGATTTTATCGTTTTTTTTTTTGCAAAATTTGAGCTACGGGGCTGGGAGTTGGCAGAGGGGTGTAATCGAGCATGCTGATTACGAATACAATATTAGTTTTCGAAACCGTGCATTACTTTTATCGATCGATACGAAAAGTAGCCTATGACACCCGTCGGGGCCCGAAGTGTATGTGTGCCAAGTTTGGTCCCGATCGGTTCAGAAATGGAATTTTCTATTCGGAACATACGTACACACAGACATACAGACATACATACATACATACAAACAGACATTCAGCTTTATATATAAGATTCAGACCTTGTAAATTTGTTGAGAATTCAACTAGTTATGAATTTTTGAATTTGGTGCGAAAGAATTTTCGGGACGACCTAATATAATATATATAATATATAATAATTAATATATGTTATGCCGTTGGGACATCCTGTATATATAGAAAGGACTCGAAGTTTGCGCAACTAGCGCCTGTACGTTCTTTCTGTGTAAACTGATTGGAAACTTTGTCCTCATGTAATTTCGGCCCAGTAGATTGTCAAAAGCTACTTTTGAATCGATTGCTGGGCCCTTCTTTCCATTTATCAATTTTCGCCCTCTTGGCAATGAAAATGAATTATTATCATTTACAAACAAAATTCCCCGCTTTTGCGTGAACATTGGCGGTAGAGCCCATTTCCATTCCGTGGTGAAGAGGAAGCGGCAACTTAGTGGGGAGGAGCGAGGGTCCCAAGGGCCGGTTAGGAGGAACACTGGTGAAAAAAGTCTTATTCCTGCCCAGCACTGGGTCAACTAAGACCGTGACCAAGTAGAGCCGAGACACCAGGTGTAAATAACTGTGAATGACTAAAGCTACAACTTCTGGGAAAATAATTCAAAAAATACGGTATTCAAGGTGTACATCCATTTTACATGGTGATTGAACCCGATGGTAACGCTCATGGAGTGTTAATCTTGAATAGCAATGCTCAAGTAGGTTAATTTGCCGCCGTATAAATCAATTTTAAAAAACACACTGCGGAGCTCAGAGAAACTTCTTGTGCAGGATATTACCACAGCGCCAGGACCAGCACTGATTTATCGCACAATAGGAGGGAACCTCAACCTCTTCTTCTTTCCCGGACCAACACCTGAGGAAGTAACCCAGCAATATCTTGAAATGATCGGCAAACCCTTCTTGCCTGCATACTGGGCGTTCGGATTCCAAGTAAGGAAGAACAGCTTTTGTTATGAAAAATATGGCGATGACTTTTTACGTATTTTTTCAGATTAGCCGTTGGGGCTACCATACTTTTGAGAATCTGAAGAAGGTAATTGAGAGAAATATTGAAGCTGGTGTACCTCTAGATGTAGTAGTATGTGATATTGACTACATGGATGAAAATAGGGATTTCACTGTTGGCAAAGTATGGTCTTCTTGAAAGATGGATATGATTTACTTTGATATAACGCTTTGCAGAAATTTGAAGGACTTCCAGAATACATAAGTTCTTTGCGCAGCAGAGAAATGCGAAGTGTGTTTATGTTTGACCCTGCCGTTCCTGTGGATTACGAGCCTTTTAATAGATCGCTCAAAGCGGTTAATTTTTCAAGAATTTTATCCATCATCAGCAATTTGCTTGTTTTATAGGGTGCACGATTTGTAGAATGGGAACGAAAGGATCAAGTCATGACATCAGTTCAAGTAAGTAAATTTGACCGCAGAACCGAGATGAATGAAGTGTTAGGACCTTTACCCATTGGCAAAAGACACAAAAATAATGCTTGGAGTAGTATGGCCAAACGTCCATGTAGCCTTTCCTGACTTTTTGGATCCACACAATAACACAATGGCTTGGTGGATCGATGAGTTTATAAAGTTCCATGATAAGGTGAGTAGATAACCAGCTTTCCTCGCTGCAAAAAACAGCCTAGAAGCATATATTTACGTCTCTAAGTTTCAACAATTCGCGTTTCTTAAAGGTTCGTGTAAAGGCCGGGCATACTTCACGCGACTTCAGTCGTGACGCGATTTGGCAATATTCCAACTTTCCATAACTCACTGCAGGCACATTTCAAATGTACAGAAGATAGGCCATTTTATCAACTATGTAAGTTATACACACTATGCATGTGCAGTTTGCTAGTGTTGGACCTGAAAACTTCTGGCTTGCCAAATCGTCGCAACTGAAATCGCGTGAAGTATGTCTGGCCCTTAAACCGAAAAAACTTATCGACGAGTTTGTTGCGATACTGTTGACTTGAGCTGATGCAAAATTAATCTTGTTCTTCATGCACCTGAGGCAGAGTAAAGGAGAAGTTGTATAAGCCAATTTTACACAAAAAACGAGATTCTACAGGATGGCACTGGAAAATTTGCGTAAAGAACGGTCCGAGTGAAATTTGAAGTCAAATAAAAAAAAAGGAAACTCAAATACCCACAAGAGAAGGATACTATGTCGAAGTGGCGTATCCATACAACATGTACATCATCTATAGAGTATGGAACTTTGATTATAAAACTGCTTTCGATACCTGTAAAGCGCTTCTGAGAGAGGAGTTATGGGAATTTTGAGCAGAAGTTTGAACGCGCGGCTGCGATGAATTCATCTGAAACCTAGTCTGGAAGCTCAGACGAGGCCATAATTATTGCTAGGACACCTTATGCAGTTAATACCTCAGTAAATAAACTTATGCCAGACATTGCTCCTCTCAAAAGCCGGAAAGAGCTCAACCCTGTTTTTACCTTAGCCAAGTTATTTGTTTCTATGCTGAAAAGATTCCTACTTTCCTCCTAAAAGCGATAAAAGCGATGCGAAAGCAGATTTAGAATCAATTCCATGTCTGTAGGTTGCTCTATAGGTAAAACAGGCTTAAAATTCAGAAATGCCTCCTTTTTCAAGATATACGCTAATTCGGAATTTTTCGAAAAGCAGTCTTAGTAGAGGGTTTTTGCAATCTTGCTTGCAAAAGGATAGCAGCATAAGAGCCCAGGATTGCTTCTGCAAAAGCACGATAAGCATTATTCCTTATTTTTAGCTATAGAAATTTCATAAAAATATATGAATTTTGTTTGTGGAAAAAATTGAAATTTTTGAGCAAGTTAAAGATTGCAGATCTTGAGTAGAATTTTTCTTGGTATTTGTATCTTTTCGTATTTTTGCTCCAAATTTCGCATAGCCAATCTTTGAATGTTTCAACACCAGTTTAGAATGAAGTTTTAGACTTTTTCAATCTCCCTGCCACGTGGGCATGAGGAAAACAACTAAGTTTGCATCAACCTAATCTATTTCTGTTAAATGCTCTACCATTTTAGGTCTCATACGACGGTATCTGGATCGACATGAACGAACCCGCTAACTTTGGAACGAATGAAGATAACCCTTTTTACTACACAGATACAAGCCTAGCCCATTCCAAAATTCCTCCCCTTAAGTGCACAGTCGTGGGTGAGGGATGGGAATGGGATGCACCACCGTATCCTACGCACGCGGTATTCATAGACGAGGGGGTATGTCAGAGCTATAAAGCATTCTTACACAGGATTATCAATTTTAGAGATCGCATCTATGTTCGAAAACATTGTGTATGAACGCTGTGTTAGGTGGTGGAAAGCAGCGCTTCTATAACGTGAAGAATTTGTATGGTCTTAGCGAAGCCATAGTAACTTCGCAAGCGCAGTATAAAGCTACAAAAAAGCGTGGATTTGTAGTATCAAGGTGAATTTTATGATTTTACACAATCAGCAAACATTTTTTTGGATTACGATTCATCAAAAATACAATTGATAGGATACATCTTGATGACGGGTATCAGACCGTACGGATTGCCAGTGAACATCGTGACTAAAATCAACTGTGTGAACACTTTATACTTTTGTAGAAATCCGTAGCGAAAATCCATAGATTGATAGGCTGTTCGTAGATAGAGGTAGATCACAATCAAGGGAGTAAAACACTTTCATAAAACATAGTCAAGTAGAGCACTTTTCCGCCTTTCCATGGGAACCAAAGAAAATGTGGTTACTCTTTTTCGCATTTCTTCTCGCAAATTTTTTTCTACGGTTTTAGATTTCGTGAATGTAATGGACCGAAAGCGCACAAATTTGCATTCCGTGTACTTGAGGCCAGAAACTTTTCAAACCACCTGTATGTACAATACCGCTCACATTTTTTGAAAAATAGACGCGAATGTGTGGACGTGTATGGACATGTACGGACATGTTCATACATGTATGGACATGTACGGACATGTATGGACATGTCCATACATTGGCGTGGCGTGGCCATATCTCGCTTCAGAGTGGACGAATTCTGAAGCCAAAGCCACCATTCGATTCAGCTCAGCGCGGAGAATCTTCTGATATATTGGAAGTGGGGATACGATGTCTTCGATATTCCGTTTTCAGTTTTTTCAATTTGTTTTGCGGAGGTCTTTTCGCGATTATGTGAAGCAACGCCTACGCAACATAGAAGTCTATACTAAGCACTATTCGATAATGCTGTTATTGTAGATTATTGTGCGCTAAAAAGTAGGGTCAGACTTCTTTTCAAAGGAGATAGAAGCGTTGGTGAATTTTGGAATAATCACGCGTTTTCAAATTCTACTCGTCATAACTTCCTTCGGAACAAGTATATTTTGAATCCGAAAAGAGCGCCTTGCTCAGCTCATCAAGGCGAATCTTCTCATATTTAGCATGCCCTTGATATTTCGATTTCAGTATTCTTGAATCTTTCTGAGGACGTCATTTCGCGAGGTGTAAAGCAGCGAGCATTGTCCCGAGTACATTCCAGCAAGGATATTTCGATAGCACTTTTTCTGTAGATTATAATATGCTAAATAATAGCCTCAGGTTTCTTTTCAAAGGAAATAGAACGGCTGGTGAATTGTGGAAAAATCTTGTCGTTCCAAATTCTACTCGCCATATCCGCAGGATACGAAGCTATCTTGCTGGGCAGATGTGAGTTTCGAAATTAGCAGGACGCGTAACCTCTACGAGCAAGTTTTCCGATATGCTCGGGTTATTCCATTTTTCTGGTTTTACGCTTCGGAAGCTTGCCGATGGATTTTGGTCAAAATGTTGATGCTCTTGAATTGTAGGGAAACTTCGCTTATAGAGGTTTTCGAACACGCTTTTTACGAAAATCGTGGTCTTTGAGGATCACAGGGTCTTTTTGGAGAGGTACGGTGAGGTGACTGTAATGCATCACGAAAGAGTACTCTGCGTTGATACCACTGCTTAACTGTCAGAAACCTTGCCTGCTTGCTTTTCTCATTCAAAGTTACTAGGAATTGTGCTATCGAAGTACTCTGCGTTGATACCACTGCTTCTGTAAAATTCGCCGAGTTACGAGCCTACGAAAACACGTGCTCATGAATTTTGCTCAAAATATTAAGATCGCACATCTCGTCGAAATTTCTCCGTTAGCGCTTGTATGACGCTCGTTGCAGATATTATGTTCGTTTCGTCGAACGACTCACATTGTACTGAATATGGTGCTTGCGTCTGCTTCAGTTGCTCAATTTAATATCAAAGCTAATGCATTACAGTCACCTCACCGTACCTCTCCAAAAAGACCCTGTGATCCTCAAAGACCACGATTTTCGTAAAAAGCGTGTTCGAAAACCTCTATAAGCGAAGTTTCCCTACAATTCAAGAGCATCAACATTTTGACCAAAATCCATCGGCAAGCTTCCGAAGCGTAAAACCAGAAAAATGGAATAACCCGAGCATATCGGAAAACTTGCTCGTAGAGGTTACGCGTCCTGCTGATTTCGAAACTCACATCTGCCCAGCAAGATAGCTTCGTATCCTGCGGATATGGCGAGTAGAATTTGGAACGACAAGATTTTTCCACAATTCACCAGCCGTTCTATTTCCTTTGAAAAGAAACCTGAGGCTATTATTTAGCATATTATAATCTACAGAAAAAGTGCTATCGAAATATCCTTGCTGGAATGTACTCGGGACAATGCTCGCTGCTTTACACCTCGCGAAATGACGTCCTCAGAAAGATTCAAGAATACTGAAATCGAAATATCAAGGGCATGCTAAATATGAGAAGATTCGCCTTGATGAGCTGAGCAAGGCGCTCTTTTCGGATTCAAAATATACTTGTTCCGAAGGAAGTTATGACGAGTAGAATTTGAAAACGCGTGATTATTCCAAAATTCACCAACGCTTCTATCTCCTTTGAAAAGAAGTCTGACCCTACTTTTTAGCGCACAATAATCTACAATAACAGCATTATCGAATAGTGCTTAGTATAGACTTCTATGTTGCGTAGGCGTTGCTTCACATAATCGCGAAAAGACCTCCGCAAAACAAATTGAAAAAACTGAAAACGGAATATCGAAGACATCGTATCCCCACTTCCAATATATCAGAAGATTCTCCGCGCTGAGCTGAATCGAATGGTGGCTTTGGCTTCAGAATTCGTCCACTCTGAAGCGAGATATGGCCACGCCACGCCAATGTATGGACATGTCCATACATGTCCGTACATGTCCATACATGTATGAACATGTCCGTACATGTCCATACACGTCCATACATTCGCGTCTATTTTTCAAAAAATGTGAGCGGTATTGTAGATGCCAGTGATAAAGGTCACGTTCGTATTATCGCATTTTTGCAGATTTTGTATTTTGCCAGATTCCACAATGTCTGTTTGAGTTATTTAAAAAGCTTGCACTCAGCCAGTACATTTGCCAAAAAATCCAATGAGTTACAAAACCATATTCAGGTCTACATTTGTTTCAAATGGACACTATGCTGGCCATTGGCTTGGTGATAATTCGGCACAATGGGAAGATCTTCGCGCTGGGATCATCGGCGTTCAAGAATTCAACATGTTCGGCATCCCGTAAGTTTCAAAAAATCTCCCCTCCCCCTCCCCCGGCAAATAAACTTTATTGCGAATCAAGATACGTTGGAACAGACATTTGTGGGTTCAATGGCGATACAAATGAGGAGCTATGTCTAAGATGGCAACAAATGGGCGCTTTTCATTCATTTATGAGGTGAGATTGTTATAAGTGAGCGAATTTTAATGCTGCTGTTTTGCAGAAACCATAATGGTTTGAAAGAAGCGCCACAAGATCCTGCTATGTGGCGTTCTGTGACCTTAGCGACGATAAATGCAAATCGTTTTCGTTATAGCTATCTGCCATATCTCTACAGGTGATGAGAGAAAAAAGTTATTTATTGATCTTTTCGAAAATGATGGTATTAGATTGATGCAAAAGAAATGGCCGATTTTCCAAGCCTTTTTCAGGGCAACTTTTTTTCATCAATACTTCTTCTTTACAGCGGATGTAGTATATTGCCGCGAAGCTATATTCATGCTCTATCTAACGATGCTTAAAGCGAGCTCTCATCCTCATCTGTTATAAAGTTGCTGAGCTCCAAATAACTGCATCCAGATTCAGAATTTCATTGCATTCACTTTTTCGACCAGAATTCAAGCGCGTATCAATGGGATTTCTTCGAAAATTTAGCTGTTGTATGTAATAGAAATTCTCTACATTACGCATACTTAACTGCATTCCTTGAGGTTATCCAGACTGAGATATCGGCGTCTAAACATGGGTAGCTATTAAGGTCATTTTATGACCCATAATTTTCTTCTGAGGAAGTCAATCGCCAAAGCTTTGCTCAATTTTGTAAGCGTAGAACTAGGACATTTATTAGCAGTTTTTGCAAAAACATCCAGCTGTTCAGTACGTAGAAAATCAGAAAATTCTATATTCCGGACTTTGAGGCACACTGAAAAAAACTGAGAATTTTAAGTTTCAATTTTTTCTTTCTCTCCAACTTTTTCGTTCAAACTTTTTTTCTTGTATTTTGCACTACTGGCTTGCGGCTACAAGATAGGCCACTTATCGTTCATACTAAGAAACTTTGAAGGAAGTTATGAATTGTCAAAGACAAGGTTCCCGCAGAAGAACCTTTTTTGTCTTTTAGTCCGTATTTCTCTTCCCGTTTACGGTTTGAGTATAAATAAGTATGCGCTGTATTGCGAAAGGTTTGCTGCTTCTGGGGGTCTTTACCGCATTCAGAAATGTGGATCTTTTAGAAAGTTATAGCACATCAAATTGAGAATTCGCAAATCGGCCATTCCTTTTGCATCAACCTAATATTTAGCTTGCACTTCAACGCGTCCTTGTTTGGTGGAACTGTTGTCCGGCCTATGTTTTATGAATATCCAAAAGACAAAATAACATATACGGATACAGATTATCAGTTTCTATGGGGGAGATCGATGCTCATCGCTCCTGTTGTCTATCAAGTGAGAGAAAATTCAGTAACTTTGCATTTAACATTCTGATTGCAATTTTATTGAAGGGAGCTAGAAGCGTACCTACATACGTGCCTCAGGACGAGTGGTATTCTCTTTACGTCTACAAGTACGGCCAAAGAATCAATAGTGGTAAACAATACTTGCCGGCTCCAGCATTTCAACATATCCCAGTCCTTGTGAGAGGTGAGGAAAACTTTATCAGGGTCCCACGTGGTAATATGGGTGGGCAGGGTCCAAAAATGGGAAAAAAAGAAAGTGCTTCCAGAAAATCAGTTTAGATGTTTTAAGACTCTTCACACATATTAAACACGTCGTAGATTTTCTATAGGCTTGAAGGCGTTGGCTCGGCGAAAATAAACATTTCGAAATTTGATGTGGTACACTATTTACCTTCCTTTCTATATGAGAAAAAACAATAGAGCAAGTGCGCTCGTATAGCATGCACCCCTTGCCAAGCGAAATAACCCTTAAACTCGTGCGCGCTTTAAAGGCAGCGTCCAGGCAGATCTGGACCTATGGGGCTTTTACGTGGAAAGTACTTTTGGGGCCCTAACTAAGGCACTGCCCAAGCGGCAGCTCAGGTAGTGCTCTAATGGCTGAGATATTCCCCTCGAAACTGGCCCCCGCGAACGTATTCGCATGGATTCATGGCAGTTTCGCGCCAGGATCCACGCTTTGCGCCATGACCCATGCGAAACACGGTCGCGGGGTCCAGTTTCGAGGGGAATATCTCAGGCGTTAGGGCACTACCTGAGCTGCCGGTTGGGCAGTGGCTTAGTTAGGGCCCCAAAAGTACTTTCCACGTAAAATCCCCATGGGTCCAGACTTGCCTGGACGCTGCCTTCAACGAATCCGCGATTTCCTCCCAGTGTTAAAAGCGGCATGTCACATTATAACGATAAGAATACTGCAACGACTAGCCTTTCAATCTTATCTTGGCAGGGACTGTTCTGCTCGTCCCAATTCAAAAGGCCTTGGAAGATGATCGTTTTTGCCATTGTTTAGCTCTTTATGGGCAGCGTCTCGGCAAAAATTCGCTTTTTTCAGTTTTCACCTATTCAGAGCCTTTTCGCCATGAGGAATTATTTAGTCTTTTCAGCGCATGAAAACGTCGAAATTGAGCCCTTCGAAGCTTTCTAGGTCTGCAATCAATGTACCGGAAAATCTTCCGTACCCCGCCTCCCTCGTTCCGGATGGGTGCGGGAACTTACCTACCCGAAAGACTTGCCGCAGCTTACCTTAGGTATCATGACCGTCCGATACGCAATTAGCATAGTGTACAGAGCCTAGTCTGTGTGTATTGTAAGCCTCGCCCCATCCATCGACTCTTTCGCGATGCATCCATCAATCTGAAACCGGGAATTCAACAGATCCACAAAATTGATGGTCAGCAACAATATCTGCTCAAACTCGACGAAAATATAGATTTAGGGGTTTTCTGAGGCGCTCTCTTCAAATATGCTATTGGTTTTGCCTTTTCTTACAAGAGCCGAAATTTGCTTGGGTAAATTGACTTTTAGCTTAAGAAATCTCGACAAAAAAAATAAAGCATTACCCTTAGGACGCATGTAAAACTGCTTTTTCACTTTTTCTCTCAAAACATTGTTCTGAAAGAAAAAGTGAAAAAGCAGTTTTCTAGTGAGAACAGCATGCCCTGAGGATGTGACCTTAATGATAAAAGACTATGAAGGTGCTAGTCTATCAAACGGCAATGTGTACAGGACGCTGCACACATTTTGTTTGTTTGACTGTTTTTGTGATTTAAATATTCTATCTACAAATTGATATAGTTATAAATGTCTTGGTTCCATGCCAAAAAGGGGCTATGTGTGGGCGGTGCTTAGCTAACGAAGTATCCTAAGGAGCATCTAGAATCAGCGAGCTCGCTATGCATAATTATACCCCGCAGATAGACACCCATGAAATACGAGAATATCTCGGGTAGGTAAGTTCCGTTCCCCGTTCCGGACCCGCCCACTTGCACGCATTTTTCACCAAATGCTAATTATTTCAAACCAGTGCGTCACCTCTGCTTCGCAGAGGCTCGCACTGGCTCTACTATCCACATACCTTTCTCGTAGTCGCATATTGATGGCTTTGAAACTTACCTCGCCATGCCGATCATTCACGTATAAAGTGTAAACAACTACTCATTCCAAAAGCTTTTTCATGTAAGATTGGTGACTTTGATGGAAAGAAAGTATTCTCCAAAAGATTAAATGCAATTCTGAATTAGTTACTGGCGTTATAATGGCTTGGTAGTCGCCAAAGATGATAACAATCGTGAGTTACATCACTGAGCAAAAATTTTCTCACATTCCCAAGTAAAACTTTGACACATCGATCATCTATGCAGTTATTCCTTTTTGGCGCCGATCTTGCATGAAATTAAACTTTTTGCTCACTTTTCGGGCTGGAGTCCATGGGTTGCGGATTTACTTGTTAAACGAAACCATGACGTTGGAAAAAAGTCCAATTACGGGCCCACTTTGGCCTGCGAAGTGTCGCGTGGATCCGATTGGCGCACAATCTCACAGGTTCCAATCAATGGATCGGCTTCTGCATTTGCACATTTTACCTACATGCTGATAGGGTGCCACTACCAAAATTCTAGCTCAAGACCTTTGCTGGAACTCGCTCTACGAATTTCGTGACAGACAGAGATTCACACACACACACACAAACGTAAACAACCCTTAGCCCGTTATTATAAGTTACTAGATGGCTTACCCGGCTCCGCCCGGCCCTGTCATTATTTTATTCGTAATCAGCATGCTCGATTACCCCCCTGTACCAACTCCCAGCCCCGTAGCTCAAATTTTGCAAAAAATCGGTAAAATCGATATCGATCGATGACGAAAAGTAGCCTATGACACCCGCCGGGGCCCAAAGTGTATGTGTGCCAAGTTTGGTCCGGATCGGTTCAGAAATGGAATTTTCTATTCGGAACATACGTACACACATACAGACAGACAGACAGACATACAAACAGACATTCAGCTTTATATATAAGATGATGATAATCCTTTTATAGAATTTGACACGCTAAATATCTCCGAAAATAAAATTTTTTATGCTGCGAATTTTTGAGTCTCGCTTAGACACCTGGAAACCTGGAACATGGAAAATTTCGGAAAAAGCGCATTTTCGCACTTTCATGCGCTAAAGCCTAAATATGGGGTCCTCATGGCGAAGAGACTTTTAAAAGATGAAATACCGTAACAAATTTTGCCGGAACACTGCCTTTATGCTGGGTTTTCGGGATCAGCGCGTTTTTTGGGCTCACGAGAGCTGCCTAAGTGAGACTCGAAAATCTCGCAGCATTAAAAATTTTATTTTTGGAGATATTCAGCGTGTCAAGTTCCATAAAAGATTATCATTTGAAATAATTAGCTAAACTTACAGGAGGATCAATTATACCACGTCAAAAACCTGAAAACACAACCGATCATACACGAAAAAATCCTTTTGAACTACTTATTGTTCCTGGAGGTACTCACTACCTAAAGTCCATTTAGCAGTTGCATTCTCGTTGAGTATCAATGTCGCAGATTCCGATGGTCGTGCAGCTGGCTTTCTATACTGGGATGATGGCGAGAGCATTGTTGAATCTTTTGAAACCTATCCTTTCTTTTCATGGAAATTCTCCTTTTCACTTAAGGAAGAGCAAGCAACCCTTGTCATTGATAGAGAACGTTCAGCTGTAAGTTTCTGCCGTAGCCATCGCTTCAACTTTTACAGCATGTCTCTGAGTTTCCTATATAAGAGTTGTACGGAGAATGTTAATTATATTCTGTACTAATTTTTTGTAGAATTTGGTGATCCCCATACTCGCCAAATTAGAGATTTTCAACTACAAATTTATGCCAAAATTCTCAGAAGCAACCTTGAATGGCAAAAAGGTTAGTGGTACCCAAATCTTGCTATGGTGAAGACAGAAGCTGTAATAAAACTTTTGTTTATATAATAGTGTTCAATTTTTAGGCAAATCTCATTAATGTCGAGCTGTCTCATTACGATAATGAATCTAAAATATTGTACATTCATTTGCGACGTAAGATTGATTTGGCAGCATCAAACGCCGAACATCTAGAACTTACATGGAAGAATCAGGTATTCTCATAAAAAGCATTAACCATGGCAAGAAATGCTTGTTCATTTGAGAGATATCTCGAAAATTCTCATTGCCTAGTGTACGTACGCGAGAGTCATTTGCAAGTATTAGGTTGATGCATAATTCCTACAGCAAAAATAGCAAAAAATGTTTTGAAAATGCTTAAACAAATTATTCAATTTCGTGATGTATCAAACCACAAGATTTTATTGAAGCTGGATGAAGCAAAAGAATTTCAAAAAATTTGGTGCAGAATTTATGCATCAACCTCGTAATATGTGAGCCTGCACACTCCGCGCGGCAACCACGACACCTTACTGATAGTCGCCACTTAGAGTTTTCTAGCGAACCTAGAAAAGGGAAGACAAGGAGAAATTTCTCAAAAACCAAATTCAGTCGTGGAGGTCGCTGAGGAAGCGCGCGTCTTGCGCAAGACGCATCTGAGTTACAAGTGCTCGACTTCAAGAATTGAACCAAAATAAGAAAATTTTCAAATTCTCTCAAATTATAAAGTAGCCAAATGGTCTATAAGCTAATGAGTCTTGACTTTTGGTAAAATTTCTCTTTTACAAAATTTCTTTCAAGGTTGGGGAAGACGAGGAAGAAGAGGACGAAATTACATCCTCGACACAAGCAATGATCAAGGTATTTCTCTCCTTTGTGAACGGTTTTTCGCTTTGTTCAAAAACGTAAAAAATTCAAAAATTCCGAAATGACTTGTACATTCGCAGCAAGTCATTTCAGAATTTCTCTCATATTAAATTTTGCTCCATTAGGCTAAATTTGGAACATAATTGCTGCGTCTCCGTCTAAAAATTTTGTTCTTCATTTTTGCACTATTTATGTGCAAATTTTCATTGCAATAATCTTTGTCAAGCTGCAGCTCAATCAGTTTCGATAAGCACTAAAAAAATTTTTGAATCAGCGGTCATACTAAGCAGTATATTCTTCATTATTTGTTTTCTATAAATTGCTAGGCATCTTTTAGAGTACCCCTGCTACCACTGTCACCGGCGAAGGTTTCGATTATTATGAGGAAGAGGTAATTCAGATCAAACACTCACGAATTCACTACATGATGAGATTCTTCAGGGTACTACTACCACCAAGTACAAACAGGAGGATAAACAGAAAGTAGGCTTTGGCAAAATTTGCATAAAAAATTCTGTAAACACTTTTCATTCAGAGCGCTTTGATGTGCAGATGTTATAGTTATATCTTGTCCGCTATTCTTTTTATCATTCAAACCTTTTACCAACTTTATTAATAATTAATAAACATTTGTAATTATGCGTTTAATATTCTTTAGAACATGGTGAAGGTCCTATCTTCAAACAGTAACGTAAACAGCTGTGACTACGCCTTGAAAGCAGTACAGAAAAAATCCATGCTCAATCTCACCAATGAGACTTTTGCAATGAAACACCGGCAAAAGATACATATTGAAATTGTAAGAACGTACCCATGCCCAGGACCACCGGGAAAAAGAGTGAGAAAATGACGACTCACAAGGAGTATAAATTGTGAGATGTGACGCGTTGTGTGCAGTACACAAATTAAGTCACAAGTGGCTTGACTATGGATGACTCCTTCTCACACATGTGACATTAGCATTTGACTTTCCGGATCGAGGAAAATTTGATACCAATTGATCTGACATCTTTTCACATATGAAGTGCAATTGCTGATGTGAACCAGCATCTTTTCCAAAAAATATTGTCCTATGAGTATAGGTAGTCTCTGAAACTTTAGAGCATTTCCGGCACTTCTGCGCGCTTATACGAAGGTTGTCCCGGTTGTGCGCAGAGTGCATTGAGTAACAGATAACTTTCAACAATTTGTATAAATACAGCTGAATGTCTCTTTACCTGTATTTCTGTGTGTATGTGTGTTTCTCGTATCGTGCACTTCCCAAGTTGTTTCCATATGAACCACCAAAGTGGCTGCCTTTCCATGGAACGTTAAAGAACGTTAATTTCAGCAAATTCAAGGTGCCTATTCGAACTTGTCACGTAGGAAAAGATAGGGAAAACTTGACCATGTTTACCAAGTTGTTCTCTACATTTATCACAGCAAGGAATCGAAACCTAGAAAGTGACAGAATCGAGCTTTTGGAATTTTAGCCATTTTGGGGCATAACTAAGGCTTACTGTTAATGGGATATCCTGAATAGTTGATTTATGGTGGAAGAAGGTTTAAGCTACTTCTCACAAATAATCATGAATAAAAAAACAACTACGAAATTGTTTCTTGTAACTACTTCTGTGCCATACAGGTTTGATAGGTGGTCTTTATTCCAATCACATGGCCCAACGTTTCGACGCCTTCGTCTTCCTCAGAGGTCTGAAAATGGTTCAAACTGTCATCCATAACTTAGTACCACCAAACATCGCCTCCCAACGAGCTAGTTCGGCTTTCCCTCAGTTTCGCTGGCAGAAATTGTGCAGAGCAAAGATGACGTACCGGAAGACCACCGATATGCGTGGAAGTCCGCACCGGAATTGAGTGGTCGCGGCGGACGAATGAGTCATCTTATAGATACACATGCAATGTGATCTATAGCTGGCATAGCGATATGAAAGGAAGGAAATCAGCAGTGATTGACAGGCACTCGTTTTTGGTAATGCATTTCTGGATTCCTTGCAGATATCCAGAATGGAGCGCTTTCCTAGCTCCCTTTCGTAAGAAAGAATCTTACATTTGATGTCGAAATTCTCCCCTTTATGTGCCTCGCTCCTGTGCTTTCCTAGCGGTGAAACCAGCTTTGGCGCCCTTTAACTGCTAAGTGTTCCTTCATGCGAATGCCAAGTGATCTTCCAGTTTCTCCGATATATAATGCCTTGCAGATAAGACATTCAAGCTGGTACACAACCCCCACTTTCGCGCAGTCTCTCTACCATACAGGCATACTATGCATTGCTCTGGTGTACAACATTGATCGTAGAGCCTGTTTCGAACCAACTGCGTTTGATATTCTTGTTCGGAATATTCACCAAAACAACGTCATCTTGCAGTGCTTGTTGAATGCATTTTTGGAATGCCGCGCTTACACTGTCAGAAGTGAATGGAAGACAAAACTAGGAAATTTTTTTATGAAGATTTTTGTGCCAAAAAATTTTTTTGGCCTATTTTTAGCGATTTAGCCTCTAGATCGATTGACAACTCTAAAGCTTACAAAAGCCATCTATCAACCTCTGCGAAGCATAGGTGAAGCACTGGCTTCTTTATCCACATGCCTTCCTCTTGCACGCATTTTGGCTCTGGAACTCACCTGCGGTGCTGACATCATGAACGAATTTTGTAGGAGCGGTGAGTTGAGGAAGAGAAAATCCTTGTGCAAAAGATTAAGAGGGAATTTGCTCAGTCATCAAAGTTATTATGGTTAGGTAGTTTTTATAAAGAACCGTCATTTCCCTCGCCCACAATTCTGAGCAAATCTTTACAAATAATTAGGTACGTGACAAATTGACGATCCGCACATTTGTTTCTTCTCGCTTTTTTGCGTAAGAACACACCTGCCCACTTTTTGGACTTATGTCCATGGTCTGCACATTTACTTGTTAAGCAAATCTACAACTCCGCATAAATACACTTTCACTCAGTTCAACGATCCACTCTGGTGGACGAAAAGTGGCGTGGACCCATTTGACGCGTAATTTTCAAATGTTTCAATTAACGGATCGGCTTGTGCTTTTGCACAGTTCACCAAAATGATGATAGGGTGTTATGGCCAAAATTCCAGCTCAAGATCTTTACTACAATTCGCTCTATGAATTTCGTAACAGACAGACAGAAACACACGCAGACAAACAGAGAGACGCTTAGCGTTTTATTATAAGTCATGATAAACAACTTCCACTGTTGCAACTTATGATCTTCTAGCCGAAAAAAACAATATGTATCAAACCCTGGCAATTGGCGGTGGTGAAAGAGCAAAAGAAATTTACAGCAAAAAGTTGAAGCACGAATAGCGAGATAGCGCCCAAGCGACTATCTAAAAAGAGCACAAGAGGTAAGACAAGAATGTTTAAATGTAATCTAAAGATCAGATCAAGGTTGTTCTCATCCCTAATCATGTTGCTCTTGGTCACAGTCGCAATTTTTTCGAGCCACTGCCTTTAAAGGCAGTGTCCCGGTAGATTCGGGTCCTGGGGGATATACGTGTGGTGGGGTTCCTGGTCACCCCAGCGGCCTCCAGGCGCAGTCCGGCTGGGTGATGTTCCCCCTGGGCCGACGAAATGGCCCTTGAACCGGCGCGCGCAACCCCAGCTGGCGCGCGCCCGGACGGCCCTCCCTGTCTGTTCGGCGCGGGACCCACGAGCGCTCACCCCCGTGATGCATGCTATGCAAAGCAAGAATTACAGGCGGCAGGGTCTTCGTCCGAGGACCTCCCAACATTCCATTGAAAATCTCGAAAGAGCTGCTTTTTTGGAATTAGAAAAAACGCCCCAAAATCGGCCTTTTCAGCCCGTTCAAAGCTCGAATTCGGACTCTACGTGGCGAAAAGGCCTAAAACATGCAAAAAGGTGGAGGTTCAAAATCTGCCGGGACACTGCCTTTAAGTGGAGCGCTTGGCATGCATACCATCAATAACTCGACGGTCTTTGAGTATCACACTTTTTCTCAGAATCTTTGCTTTTGAAAGCTGCATTTTTGCGCCACGAAAAAGCAAATATTCTGCCTTTTAAATGACATTTTTGCAGAACGAACTTTCCGAAAGCATGTTTTTTAAATGACTCTTAAAGTGCTTTGACTAAGATGTATTTGTTGTAATTCCTATCAAATGTCGCAAAAACAAATTCAAGTCATATAATGGAATAAGCAATTTTGAGGCACTACATTGCTGCAGCAGAAGCCATGGTAAGTTTCTACCGACATAAAAGCGAGTACGCAATTTCTTACCCTCGCTAAATTCCCAAAATGTTCAGGATTTCATCGCGCTTATTGTAGCACTGATTTTTGTGACTGAAGTGCACTCATATGGCAAACCGCCGAGAATATTTGGAGAAGTAAGGGCTTATCAATTGCAGTGTCGGGTGCACCAGAATCTCACTTCCCGCGCGTAACTCTGCACCTCTTCCGCGAACATGCTCTCCAGTCATTGCAATCGCTTAAGGCTTTGCTTTCCCACGCGAGGTAAAAAAGTGACTAGAGAGCATGTAAAACTTACATGAAGAATCAGGTAGTCTCATAGAAACATTAACCTATAGCAATAAATGCTACTAAATTGGGAGATATCTCGAAATTTGTTATTTCCTAGTGTACATACGCTAGCGTCATTTGCAAGTTAATATGTGAGCCTGAGCCTGCACACTCCGCGTGGCAACCCACGACACCTTACTGATATTGGCCAGTTAAAGTTTTTCTATTCTAGCGAACAAACTGTGGAATTGTGCATTACCATATTATATGCATCCAATCAAGCTACAAGCGAGAGAAAAAGGAGAAATTTCTCAAAAAACAAATTCAGTCGGGGAGATAGCTGAGATAGTGCGCGTCTTGCGCAATACGCATTTGAGGCAAAAATGCTCGACTATAAGAATTGAACCAAAATAAGGAAAATTTCAAAGTCTTAAATTATAGAGTAGCCAAATGCTTTATAAGCTAATGAGTCACAGCTTTTGGTAAAAATTCTTTTTTTTAAATTTCCTGCAAGGTTCCTGGAAAAGATGACCACGGAGCCGACGAAGAAGGGGACGAAAGTGCGTCCTCAAGACAAACAATGGCAAAGGTATGTCTCTCCTTTGTGAACGGTTTTTTTTTTCAAATACGTGCTCGTACATTTGTAGCAAATCATTTCAGAATTTCTGTCGATTTGAAGTTAGCGCCCATAAGCTAGATTCGAAAATAGCTAATGGTCATTGTTCCAAAAATTTTGTTTCTTATTTTTACGCTATATGTGCAAATTTTTTGCAATAGTCTTTGTCAAGCTGCATCTGCATCAGTTTCGATACGCACTAAAATATTTTTTTTTTGAATTATGCGGTTGCACCAAATCAGTATATTCTTCATTATTTGTATCTCTAAATTGCTAGACATATTCTAGAGTACCATTGCTATAACTGATAAAGGCCAAGGTTTCGATTACCTTGAAGAAGAGGTAATTTAAATTAAACACTCACGGAATTCACTACGTGCTGAGATTTTTCAGGTTACTACTACCACTAAGTACAAGGATAAACAGAGAGTAAGCTTTAGCAAGTTTTACACAAAAGGTTTCTATGAACTTTTTTAATTTAGAACGCTATGGAGTGCAGAAATTATATTTATATTTTGTCCGCTATTCTTTCTAACATTCAAGCCTTTTATCAACTTTATTAATACCTTAATAAACATTTACAACTAAATATGCGTCTAATGCCCACAACATAGTGAAGGTCTTATCTTTGAACAGTAACTTGAATGGCTGTGACTAAATCTTGAAAGCAGTACAGAAGAAACCCATGCCCAATTTCACCACTAAAACGTTTCAATGAAACACCGGCAAAAGATAAATATTGAAATTGTAAGAGCGTACCCATGCCCAGGACCACCGGGAAAAACGGAGAAAATGACGACTCACCAGGGGTATAAGTTGTGAGATGTGACACGTTGTGTGCAATACAAACACCAACACAAATGGCATCTATGAGTGATTCTTGCCTCACACATGTGACATTCGCAATTGCATTTCCGGACCGAGGGAAATTTGATACCAATTGATCTGACAGCTATCCTTACATGAACTGCAACTACTGATGTGAACCAGCATCTTTTCCAAGGAAATAATGTCCTATAAGTATAGGTAGTCCCTGAAAGTAAAGAGCATTTTCGGCGCTTCTGCGCGCTCATACGAAGCTGTCCCGGCTGCGCGCAGAGTGCATTGAGTAATAGATAACCTTCAACAATTTGTATAAATAAAGCTGAATGTCTCTTATCTGTATGTCTGTGTGTATGTGTGTTTCTGTACGTATCGTGCACCTCCGAAATTCTTCTCATATGAACCATCAACGTGGCTGCCTTTCGATCGTTTAAGCATGTTGAATTCAGCGGCTTGGCAAAAATTCGTTTTCCAGTCCTTCACCTTTTCGGAGCCTTCTTGCCATGAGGAAGGAACCCATGTCTGGGCTATTCAGCGCATGAAAATGGCAAAAATGCGCTTTTTCCTAAGCTTACCAGGTCAGCCTTTGATGGAGAAATGTGCAGGGCCTGGAACGAAAAAGGCGGGGTGCGGCTTTTTCCGGCGTATCTTCACTGAATTCCCTAAAAAGCTTCGGAAAAAGAGCGTTTTCGCCACTTTCATACCCTGAAAAGCCCAGATGTGTATTCCTCATGGCAAGAAGGCTCCGAAAAGGTGAAGAACTAAAAAACGAAATTCTGCCGAGCCGCTGCCTTTAACTCCAGCGAATTTGAGGCGTCTATTCGAAGTTGTCACGTATGGAAAAGTAGAGAAAACTTGACCGTATACAAATATCAAATTGCTGTTCTCTGCATTTATAACGAAACCTAGAAAGTGACAGAATCGAGCTTTTGGAATTATGGCCATATTGGGGCATGACTATAACTTACTCAAAGTAGAATTTCCTAAGTAGTTGATATGTGGTAGAAGAAGGTTTAGCTACTTCTTCACAAATAATCATATATAAAAAACAACTAGAAAAGTTTTTAAGAAAATTTTTATGCCAAAACGAAATGTTTTCAACTTATTTTTAGCGATATAGCTTCTTTCGATTGACAACTCTAAAGCTTACGAAAGCATCTATCAACCGCGTCACTGTTGCATCCTAAGTTGCCCTCATGCTGCTTCCGATGCCATGCCGGCGGAGGTGACAGTTCTGCCACTGCAGTGGGTGCTGATCGTCCGTCTTTCCGTCGTAGTTACGGCACGCCCCGTACAGAAATTAGAAGACTGCAATCATTCGCAGACTATCATGCCTGCTTTATAATAATATCAGTACTTCAACCTCCGCATCCCAGAGCCTCGTGGCTCCTCTATCTATATGCCTTCCTCTTGCTCGCATAATGTTGGCTCTGAAACTCACCGTGTAATGCTGACGTCATGAACGAATTGTAAGCAACTGTTCCATGAGCGTTTCTTTGTAGGAGTGGTAATTTTGAGAAGAGAATATCTTTGTGCAGAAGATTAAAGGTGAATTTCGGTCAGTTACTAAAGTTATTATGGTGGGTAGTATCCATAAAGGACAGTCACTTTCCTCGCCTACAAAGCAAAATTACAAAGAAACTTGAAATTTAACTTGGACCACATGACTAGGGAACACTGTATTTGATATTTCTCGAGAACTAAAGCTTGTAGAGAGCTGGAAATATACGTTTGTACTTCTACGGGTTTGTAGTATACAACTACTTATGTGGGAACGGCACAGCATCACTTTGGCAAATGCACGAAAATCTCCGTTTTCTTGATTTCTAGCACAGAAAAAAACGGCAACGCCATATATGTATGCCCTAAGTGGATCGTGTTTACGTGAGCAAGTTAGAATTTTTGTAGGATTTTTGTGAACTGAGTTACGATTTTTCTCAATTCTTCGGGCAGTTGAATCTTTTCCGTTTTTGGCTCGAAACTCATGGTGAATCAGAGCTGTTGCTAGAGCAAGATAGCCATCTTGTAGAGCTTGCTTTGTCCTATCGAATGGTACTTTGCAACCTACTTAGAAATGAGAAGTGTATGACTTATTGCGGTTGCAATTCAAAACCTGCATTAATCTCCGGACAATCTAATACATTTTTATAAGCTAGACGCGTAGCTCTGCATGAATTGCCTTAAATACTTCAGATTGAAGCAGACTCTATATATTAGGTAGGTCCGAAAGTTTTGTCAGTTTTTTCAATCCATCGTCAAACCCGCTAGAATGAAGATAAACAAACGCTTTAGAATGAATCCGATGCAGAATTTCTTCCTCTTTCCAGCTGTTGAATTCCCGTTGTGTTTCGTTGAGATAATGACGAGATATTTGCTGGAAATTACGATCACTCGTTTTCACCATGTCCAACTGTCGCTAATTTTCAAAATTTTGTATGGGGCTTTCGGAGGAGCCCTAATAACTAGCGGATAGGGCAAACCTTTTGCCAACAAAAGCAATTTTTTTCTTTTTTCCAGCTGCTTTTTCAGAATTTTGCTAAATAATTTTTTGAAAGTCTTGTGTTTTGGAAAAATCGCATGACCTGTTATTGCACCAAACATTGCAAAACCTACAAAAAACTGAGGTTTCAACTCACGATTATTACTACCGCTACCATTACAAGTGAGCGATTTTCGCTTCAAATTATGAAGTTTTAAAAACATAGGTCACGTCAGTGCGCACTATACTTGGGTCCGAATCGAATAGAAATTCGATCATTCGAATAAAACATTCGGGTAGAGGAACGAACGCCTCAATTAGGCATCGCCTCCGCGGGCTGCTGGTCCTTTCGTCCTACTGTTGCGCATCGTGTTGGGACCAGTGGTCCGCGGAGGCGGGGCCTAATTGAGGCGTTCGTTCCTCCACCCAAAACATTCGAATATATTCGTATTCGAAATTCGATATTCGGAGTTCTTCCATTTTCGAATAATATTCGAAACTCGAATAATTGAAAAAACGGGGTTTTGAATGAAATTCGAAACTCGAATAATTAAAAAAAAACAGGGTTTCGAATAAAATCCAAAAACTCGATTAATCAAAAAACAGGGTTTCGAATAAAATTCGAAATCTCGAATAATCAAAAAACGGGGTTTCGAATAGAATTTATTCGAATGTTTTATTCGAATGTTTATTCGAATTCGTATTCGAATGAACTCCGTATTCAGATTATTCGACTTTGTTGCAGAGCCATCTGCTGAGTATTATCAAGCTCATTTCGTCCGCGTTTTTTTTCGCAAAACTAGGTAATGCATCTTTTGCAACTGTTATGACCTCTGAACTGTACGGAGAGTCGCATTCTTTCGACTGTTTGCGACAGTAGAATCATATGTGGATTTTAATTGATGCTTTTTCGATCAATGAGATTGTTCGCACTGCTATTGGCACCAAATCAGCAAAGAAGCTATCAAATTCAAGCTCATGTTCCGAGTTCATATGTTGAAAGTGTTTTGAAATGCCTATTAGTGAGCAGTTTTGCTCGCATAAGTTATATTGCACAACTGTCTCTATTCGCTACCTTAGAAATTTTTTGCGAACTGGTGTAAATATTTTGATTAAAGGAATCGCAGTTGTAGTGGAGGATTAGACGGCTTAGATCGCCGTATGCGATTTGCCAGTTACGAGATGTCTTCAAATATAACGCCAGCTTACCACAAATGTTTAGCGTGTACAACTTACTAAAAAGATAAATGCCCTGCATTCTGTACTTCTAGAATAAGTTTTGATCAAAATTTATATCGACTGCTTTTTTAGATCGTCCAATAATGGGTAAAATACGACTTCTTGCTGATGTATAGACTAGTTGCCAACCGATCAACTTCATCGATTTTTGGAGGAGTTTAGTTTTTTTCCATAATCAGCACTCTCACTTACCCCCTTGTACCAACTCCCTGCGGGGCAAGGAGTTGGTACAAGGGGGTAAGTGAGGGTGCTGATTATGGATAAAAATTTACTTTATCGATTTTATCGATTTCTGGAGAAGTTGGAGCTGGGGGGGGGGGCTGAGAGTTGGTACAGGGGGTTAAGTGAGGGCACTGATTATGAATAAAAAATTACTTTATCGATTTTGTCGATTTTTGGAAAATCTCGAGCTACGAGCTTGGGAGTTGGTACAGGGGGTAAATGAGGATGCTGATTAAAACCGAAGTCTATTTTATCGATTTCAGTGATTTTTGGAAAATTTTGAGCTAGGAGTTGGTATAGGGGATACAAGGGTGCTGATTATGAATGGATCGGCTTTAGCCAGATATGTCGGCAAGTTTGAGATATGGTTGCTCTAGTTATTCGACAAATCATTCGAATATTTATTCGAAATTCGACTTCCAATGTTCGAATATATTCGATATTCTTTCATTCGATATTTTTGATTTTCCGAATTTATTCGGAATTCATTCATTCGAGAATTCTTGAACCTCGAATTTATTCGATATTCGTTTATTCGAGATTTTTTATTTTCGATTTTATTCGATATTCGTTTATTCGAAATTTTTCGTTTTCGAATTTCTTCGATATTCATTCATTCGATGAAAAATTTTCGAATAACCCAAGTATAGTGCGCACCCCTGAAATTGAAAAATAATGCGATTTTCCCCACAAATTTTGCCTGCCTCGGTAAAAA